TGTCGAGGGCCCCCAGGAGGGACCACCCCCCAGGGTGGGGGAGGGGAAGCGCTCACCGCTTTGAGCTTCTTTACAGCCTCCTCGCAGACGTGCATCCCCCGTGACTCGTCTACCTCCGCGTGTCCCAGGTACTGTGGGGGGGCACACCTGTCAGGGGGGGACACCCCCAAAACATCCCTGTGCCACCCAGGCTAGAGCATCCTGTATCCCTGAGCCTGGAGCATCCCATATCCCAGACCCAGAGCAATCCGCATCCCTGACCCCAGAGCATCCTGTATCCCATATCCCTGACCCCAGAGCATCCTGTATCCCATATCCCTGAGCCTTGAGCATCCCATATCCTTTCCATCTGAGCATCCCGCATCCCTGACCCCAGAGCATCCTGTATCCCATATCCCTGAGCCTTGAGCATCCCATATCCTTTCCATCTGAGCATCCCACATCCCTGACACTTGAGCATCCCACATCCCCTGCCCCGGAGCATTCTGCATCCCTCAGACTGGAGTATCCTATATCCCTCGCCCCAGAGCATCCTCTGTTCCAGAGCATCCCATATCCTTTCCACTGAAGCATCCTGCATCCCCACCCCAGAGCATTCCATATCCCTGACCCTGGAGCATTCCCTGCCCTGCAGCATCCCACATCCCCACCCTGGAGCATCCTGCATCCCTTGCACCAGAGCATCCCGTATCCTGTATCTCTGACCCCAGAGCATCCTGCATCAGTTGCACCGGAGCATCCTGCATCCCTCGCACTGGAGTATCCCTTGCTCCAGAGCATCCCATATCCCTTGCACCACAGCATCCCCTACTCTGGAGCATCCTGTATCCTGTATCACTGAGCCTAAAGCATCCTGTAGCCCTGCCCTGGAGTATCCCACATCCCCACCAGCATCCCTTGCACCGCAGCATCCCCTATCCCCTGCCCTGGAGCATCCTACATCCTATATCCCTGTCCCTGAAGCATCCTGTATCCCTGACCCCAGAGCATCCCAGAACCCCACCTCAGAGCATCCCATATCCCTTGCACTAGAGCATCCCCTGCTCCGGAGTGTCCCATATACCTGACCCCGGAGCATCATACATCCCCATCCCAGAGCATCCCTTGCACTGGAGCATCCTGCATCCCTTGTACCAGAGTATTGCATATCCCTCACCCCAGAGCATCCCCTGCTCTGGAGCATCCTGTATCCCTGACCCCAGAACATCCCTTATCCCTTGCACCAGAGCATCCTGCATCCCTGATCCCACATCATCCCGTAACACTACCTTGGAGCATCCCCTGCCCCACAGCATCCTGCATCCCTTGCACAAGAGTATCCCACATCCCTCGCCCTGGAGCATTCCTTCCACCAGAGCATCACGTACCCTGTATCCCCCCGATCCCACAGCATCCCATACCCCTCACCCCAGAGCAACCTTTATCCCTCACACATGAGCATCCCCCGCTCTGGAGCGTCCTGTATCCTGTATCCCTGACCCTGCAGCATCCCGCATCTGCGTCCTGGACCATCCTGCATCCCTTGCACTGGAGCGTCCCGTATCCCTCACCCCAGTGCATCCCTTGCACCGTATCCTATATCCCTGACCTCAGAGCATCCCGTATCCCTGTCCCAAAGCCTCAATGCCGGCCGACACAGAAAGACCCCACAGGACTACCCCAAACACCGCCCCCCCCGCCATGTCCTGGCATTCAGGGCGGGGGTGTTTGTGTTGGGGGGGGGTTATCCCTGCTCCCGCTCACCCGCACGGGAAAGCTGCACTTCCCGCGCCGCACGGCCTCCTCGTCCGCCTGCCACTGGTGCGGCCGCGCCGCCTCCGGCACGTAGGCCGGCTTCTTCCGACGCAGGCTCTGCCGCAGCTTGTTCATCGCTGACCCCCCCAGGCCTGGAAGTGGGGGGGCACGACGGGACAACACAGGGGTGAAGATTCCCCCCCCCAAAAGCCCATGGGAGACCCTTCCTCAGGGCTGGCTCCCCCACAGATGGGGTTTTTTTGGGGGGAGGGGAGGTCCTGGCCCCCTCACTTTGATCTCAGCATCTCCAGACTGAACTGGGATGCTGCTGTGTGTCCCCCCCCCCGCAGAGGTTGGGGACATTGGAGGAGGGGAGCGGGGACATCAGGAGGGAACACC